AGGTCTGTAATAAGCCCCTGGGGCAGGATGGGTAACTTCAGAATGTGCACAGAAATTCCCAGGGAGGCCTCTCCATCTCTTTCTGTTTGCTCTTCTGAAGTCTCTCTAGAGAACACAGCTGGCTTCTACTGTCATTGTAGCCACCACCAGGCCCCAGTTACAGCTCTCAGGTGCCTTCCTGGATCCCAGCCTACAGGCCCCAAATAGGAACCTGATAAAAGTTATCCTTTTATGGACTCATGACTCATGGAACTGGGCCTGGGCTGGCCTGCAAAATAACTTCAGGGGAGATGAGAAAGACTGCAGAAAAATCTCCTATTTCCTTCCGATTGCTTTAGCACGTCTTTGTAGCATTTCCCTGAAGTTTAATCTACTGAAAATGAGATCTTAGAACTCAAGGGCCCTTCTTACATGCTCAACACAGATATTCAGAAATCTCAACTCATACCAACCTTGCAACTGTAATATTCTCAGACTAACATTATTGTGGTTTGGCTGAAAATCTTTGGGTACTCTGGTTTTCCCTCTTTGGGAAGAGAGTTCTACCCATGAAGCAAATGCTAATTATCCTGTGGTTAATATGATGGAGTGCATTTAACTTCATGACTCATTCATTATTTTGATTAGACCATTTTTTTTAATGGACTTGGTATATAGTCTATATTCTTTCCTCCCAACTGGGGATCTTATCTCCATTGTGCACTGGTAAGGAGTTCTCATTTACATGGCTTCCCTCCCCCCATAGATGATGAGGGTTTGTGAAGACCCCTTCTCAAAGAAGAGGGTTAGCAGGCCTGCCAATGCTAAATGTCTTTCATAAAGCACATTTACCCGTTATAATGAGACAAATGCTAGAGGCCCAATCCATTTGCCTATTGATGGTTATGCAATGTTAGCACAATCCAACGTTGCTGTCCTCCATCTCTCCACCCCACACCTGGCTTCGCCGTAAAAAACGGGCCTGAGCAGAAGGTGTGCTCCACAGCCCATCTGCTCAGGATTTTCAATTTCCCCTGCTTTACGCACATAGCTACAAATAGCCCAACTGGACTGTTTCGGGTCTGGTGGGTGAGGTGGGGACCTAGCCATTCCCAAACTCTTCAAAGAGAGAGGAGTTTAACGTCCAGGCTAAATACTGCTGCGTTTGTGACTAGCCAGTATTCACCGAGAGCTCTGTGCTACTTATTCTGTGTCTGACTCCTCCTCCTGTCCCTCTCGTAGCTACTATTATTGACTCCTTTTTACATGTGGGACAATTCACTAGAGGACCAGACTTGCTCAAGGCCTCACAGCTAGCAAGTGGCAGAGAGAAGCCATCCTGACTTTGGAGCAGGCAGCTTTATACCTTCAATATCATGCTATTTCTCACATGCTTTGCTTACAGGGTGGTCTCATGAGATGATGTAGAGGGGAGACAATGGTGGACCCCTCATGCCCACTTGTAACACCTCCAGGACTGGTGGGGTGGGATGTATAAAACTCAAACAGCAACTTCGGAAGCAACAAGAGCATGCCTATAATCCTACTCAGGAGGCTGAGATCTGAGGATCTCAGTTCAAAGCCACGTTGAGCAGGAAAGATGTGACTCTGATCTCTTAACTAACCATCAAAAAGGTGGGAGTGGAGCTGTGTAGATCAAGGAGTAGAACACTAGCCTTGAGAACAAAAGCGAAGGGGCATTGCCTAGGTCCTGAGTTCAAGTCCTAAGACTGACTTAAAAAAAGAAGAAGCAGCAACAAGTGTGGAGTGAACAGGAAGTTTGGGTGATAGGGACCCCGTAAGTAATGGCCGAGTATCTTTTCATTGTGTCTCTAACAGTGATGGATAGAGGCTTTTTGGAAAGAAACTGTTTGTCAGGTACATGGTTGGCCTTTGAAATACAGACAGGTCAGCTGCTGCTCCCCAACCTGCAGAAAGAGACTCTGCCTTTTACTACTGTATGGCTATTTCCTTTATTTCTTTTTCTTTTGTTGGTTGTGGGGCTTGAACTCTGGGCCTGGGCACTGTCCCTCAGCTCTTTAGCTCAAGGCTCTACCACTTGAGCCACAGCACCACTTCTGGTTTTCTTGTGGTTTATTGGTGATAAGAGTCTCATAGACTTTCCTGCCCAGGCTGGCTTTGAACTGTGATCCTCAGATCTCAGCCTGCTGAGTAGCCAGGATTACAGGTATAAGCCACTGGTGCCTGGCTGTGTGGCTGTTTTCTTTTCTTTTCTTTCTTTTTTTTTTTTTTTTGGGTCCGGTCATGGGGCCTGAACTCTGGGCCTGGGTGCTGTCCCTCAGCTCTTCAGCTCAAGGCTAGCGCTCTACCACTTGAGCCACAGCGCCACTTCCAGCTTTTTTCTTTTTGCTTATGTGTGGTGCTGAGGAATGGAACCCAGGGCCTCATGCCTGCAAGGCAAGCGCTCTACCACTGAGCCACCTTCCTAGCCCTGTGTGGCTGTTTTCTATATGGATAATAGTTGTGGATACAGAGTTAAGGGCTTCTTTGACAGGGTAGATTTGTCCTCATGCTCTTGGGTTTACTTCAAAATTCAAAGGGAAATTGTAAAGGAATACTTTGCTATCTTAGGCAATGGTGGAGGGAAGAATTTTAGAGATGATGAAACATGGTAGTTAAGAAGTCAGTAACAGCCAGGCACTGATGGCTCACGCCTGTAATCCTAGCTACACAAGAGGCTGAAACCTGAGGATTGCGGTTCAAAGCCAGCCCAGGCAGGAAAGCCCCTATAAGACTTATTTTTTTTTTTTTTTTACTCTCCAATGAACCACTAAAAAACTAGAAGTGGCGCTGTGGCTCTAAGTGGTAGAGTGCTAGCCTTGAGTAAAAGAGCTCAGGAACAGTCCCCAATCCCTGAGCTCAAACCCCAGGACTGAAAAGAAAAAAAAAGAGAGAGAAGCGAGTCACACATTCATTGTTCCCACTGTGGTAGGGGGGTGGCCTCACACTCATTTTCTGAGGCCTCTTCCTCTTTCCTCTCTCTCTTTCTGGATCTCTGAGCATCAGTGTCTCCCCCCCCGCCCCCATCTCCTTGGCTTCTTCGAGAATTGCACAGGACCCTTTCTCTGTAACCCAGAGGGTATAGTAGTTCAATGGGGGTGTTCCTAGAATATTCTTCCACAGCTGTGACCTGAAGGGGTGTGTTACCAGGCTATTTCTCCAAGTCAGGTCGGGAGTGAGCAGAACGTGAGCTCACTAAGAAGATTCTGGCCAAGTTGGGAAGTGTATCTCCTCTTAGGGAGGGTGGTGAATTAGATCCATTTCTGCACCCTGCTGTTGCAATGGAGCAGGCGGTGGAAGGGGAGATTCTCAGAGGAGCTGTGTTTTAATGTAGCAATTTGATTCAATTTTCCACTCTATAAAATTACCCATCACTGCTCGTTGCTTTCTAACAGACACCTTCACTCTTAATTTAACAATCCTATCGAATTCTGCCAGGGAAATTGGAAAAATTTATCACCTGTGAAATTTTATTTTCCTTTGGTTGTATCTGTTTTTGTAAAACTTCATTAACGACGATGACTTGCTGAGGAAATTATCATTTTTTTTTTTTTAACTTCAGACACAAGAAATGGCTCGACCTCAACCAAGATATCGTTTGCATAATAAAACACAACAAAAAAGGGCTGAGGAAGTGGCGGACTGGCCAAGGCTGGAAGTACCAGAAGGAGAAACAGGCTTTCTTTGGCGGGGTGGGGTATGGGTGTGGGTGTGGTCAGAACCCCTCGACTCTGAGTAATCACGTGACTTTTCTCCCTGGGAAGAAAATGAATGTAGCCTGCAGAGTTACCTACTGGACTGGCTTCCTAGGAAGCCGTAGAATGCAACTGCTTCCTGATGATGCTTTTAGCAACTGGGCCTATCTTCTGGGGCCTGAGTGTGAGATTCACCTTAATCCCAAAGTTCATCTGGGATGGAGATTTAAATTGCTATAAATTTACGCTTAATTTGAATTTCTTAGCAGAACCGTGAACTCCTGGCACGTTTCCACAGGAATGCTCTTTCTGAATGGACCTGAAGATTCAGCAGTTCCTGTGGTCTAACTACCTCCCAATTAAAAGGCTCAGGCTTTGGTTTTCCAGCCTGACCCCCCACTGCGCTCCACACTGTTCATCAGCTGCCTTCTCTCTCCCAGCAGCGGCTCTGCAGAAGCAGTGAGGACTGGGCATTTTCTGAGATGTTAGCTCTCCTGCCTCTGGAAGGAAAAAGATCTTGAGATCTGCTGGATTGCTGGGGTTGGGTTGGGGGTGGGGGGAGAGAGTGGGGGTGGAAGCAGAGAAGGTTTATTCTTAAGCGATGTGATTTGATTCTAGGTAATAACCAGTTGTGCTCCGTCAGGAGTATCAGCATGTATATCATTTTGGGCTTTTGAAATGCTTCATGTTTTTGAGACAACTTACTGTTATTTTCATGATCCCACAGGAGAAGAAGTGGAACCTAGAGAGAGATTTGATGATGTACCCAGAACTCTTAGCAAATCAGGGTAAATCGTCATGAATATAATGAATAGTGCTAGCACTGGGGCTGGAACTCAGGGCTTCACATTCTCACTTGGCTTTTTCACTCAAGGCTGGGTGTTCTACCACGTGAGAAATACGTAGAAATACTTCCACTTCTAGTTTTTTGCTGGTTCATTGGAGATAAGAGTCTTAAGGATTTTTCTGCCAGGTGGGGCTGGCTTCAAACCAGGATCTTCAGATCTCAGCCTCCTGAATAGCTAGAATTATAGATAGGTGTGTGCCACTGGTGCCTGGCTCTGACACAAATATTCTTAACTTTCTAATCTCATCCACACATGTAATAAATTACTACATGTGGTATAGATGAAATATTCCTGTTGGCTCAATTCATCCTGCTCCCAGAGCAAAGCAGAACTCTGCACTGAGATACTTCCGAGGATGAAATTTAGATCTGGCTTTTGTTGGAGGTTTCAGAATTATCTACCAGATCAAGGGTTTTTGACACTCTGGAGGAGATAATTAGGAGATGACATTTCATACCTGGTAAGACTTCATAAATATCCTCTTCCTTCTCTGTTGGCTCTTGGATCCCCATACTACTGGGGGAGATGATGGGTCTGCACTGAGAACCAGAATTTGGGGTGTTAAAACCATCAATGTCATCATACATCTCTTCCTCCTCCTCTTCCTCTTCCTCTTCATAGGGGATGGTTAAGGAGCTCAGATCTGCCAGGGGGAGAGAAGAGATGAGACTGAATCCAGAGAGGGAGAAAAAGAAAAGAAGAAAGCAGAGCAGGAAGGAGGGTAAAGGAGGAGGAGGGATGAGCATAAAACATGTCAAGAGAAAATGAAATACTAGGTTAAGTGCTGTGAGTCTAGGTGGCAGGAAATCTAGAGAAAAGGCCAGCCTCATACTGTATCAGGTTTAAACCATCAACATAAATCCTTCCTCACAATAAAACTTGATCAGGATGGAACAGCTCTGAAAAGTATGGGTGTGTGACTGAGAACACGAGGCGAAGGGAAGAAAGGAGGTCAGATGAGTAAATGCCAGTATGCCATGCACTGCTCATCAAGTAGAAAACTTGACAGGTGACTGATGGCACTTGATCTCCAGGGCAGTGGCAGCAGCTACCATAGTCACTGCTACAAGCTGTTGGAAACCCACCTCTCCCGATGGAGTCAGTGTAGAATTTCAGACCAATGTATTTGTACCAGAGGGGAAAAAAAAGGAAGTGAAAAGAAATGGGGCCAGGCCCCAGTGGTTCACACCTGTAATCCCAGCTACTCAGGAGGCTGAGATCTGAAGATCACAGTTCAAAGTCAGCCTGGGCAGGGAGGTCTGTGAAACTCTTATCTCCAATTAGCCACCAAAAAGCCAGAAATGGAGCTGTGGCTCAACCGGCAGAGTATCAGCCTTGAGCTAACAAGGAACAGCACCTACACTCTGAGTTCAAGTTCCAGGACAGAAACAAAAGAAAAAGAAAATCTGAAGAAAAAAAAAGGGTGAATCAGAGAAATAGAATGGTAAAATATGACCAAATGGAACAGCTAAGTGTTGAAACTATACAGTCTGACTTTAAAGTGGGTCACTACATAGGGGATGTTGAGCCATTACAGCACTTGGAGAGCATGGGGGCAGGGTGGGGAGATTGGTTTCTCTTCTGATGGGGAACGGGGAAGTCTCTGACATGTAGTACAGAGCATCCTCTAAAACCCCATCGAGGGGCCTCTACAGGACGAGAGAATGCAGTCAGCAGACTCTGGGGAAAGGCAGGATGGAGAGACATGGCGGTTCATTTCCAAACCCAATAAAACTGTTTGGCTTGATTAGGCTTTTAATAAAGACTGTGTACCAATTTCCCTCTGAATTCTTGGTACCACTTCATATGAGGAGAGGATCAAAGGCACATTTGTGGCTTCAACCATATGTTATTATTTTGTTTGTTTTAAAATAAAATGGAATGAATAATTCCTTCAATGTGGGGTTCTGAAAGTACCACAGGGTAAAGCTCAATAAAGCTGCTTTGAGTTTTATTGAGGTTTACACACTTAGGGGTATATTACACGCATAAATCCTAGGCACCTAGACGAGAGTGCACCCTGTAGCCTTGCCATCAATGTTCATGTTCGCCTAGTTCCAGTCTATTATACGTGATGCGGCTGCTAGATACAAGAGTTTGTTTGTTTTTTCCCCCCTTTTTTTGTGATAGCAAAGGCATAACTGAGTAAAATAGGCAATTCTTATAATTAAAGCTCGAATGCATCATTCTTTTTAGCCACGATAAAATCTTACAGTAGAAATAAAAGACTGCAACAACAAGGCTTGGGGTTGTTAGGTTTCTGTGCTCCTCCTTGAGTCTTAGGCCTTGTACAAAGTGGATGCCTTTGCTTTCTGAAAGCCAGGGAGGGTCCTGCTATAAGGACAGATGAAGGTTATCTGCTGTCAAGAGACATGCTCAAGGTGGACTCTATCTACCTGCCAGGCAAGGCTTCCAGGGAGCTTCCATGACTGTGTCTGCAGGCTGGCCAGCAGAGGGTACTCTAAGAGCAGTCATTTAACATCTTCAGGCAACGGAACATCTCAAAGCAAAGAACATCTTATTGTGGTTGCAAGAGTGATTTGTTTCAATGTTCCTGATGGCCACCTAGATTAGTTTAGTGTTTAGAGACAGGTGTGTGTGTGTGTGTGTGTGTGTGTGTGTGTGTGTGTGTGTGTGGGTGCACACTTGAACTCAGGGTCTGATTGCTGTGCCTTACCTTTTTCCATTCAAGGCTGGCACTCTACCTCTTGAGCCATACCTCCATGTACAGCTTTTTGGGGGTTAAATGGTTGTGGAAGTAACACCTTCACTTTATAGAGACTTTTTCTGCCCAGGTTTGGCAGATCTCAGCATCCTGAGTAGTTAGAATTACAGATATGAGCTATTGGTGCCTGGCTAGAGTTCAATTTCTTAGATTTGGGGCCTCAATTGCAATTCTATGACTTTAAGTTAGAAATGCTGAACTTCTTTTCCAGAAAAAGAGTTAGGAGTTAGGAGATAGTGAACTGGGAGAGCTAGGTGTCACACATTTCTATTCTTAAATATTATGAATATTATAGACTTGCCTATATGTTGGTAGATGAAGTGGGTGATTTCCTTTCCTTCTCAGTCGTACGTGGTACTAGTTGTTCTAGTATGGGGGCTTAATGGGGAGAGTAGAGGTGAGGATGGGCAGAAAAAGTAAAAAGTCCATATGCAAACCATTACATTATACTTATGCAACATACCTTCTATTACATATTCACTCATTATGTGCTGAACTTCTGTAACTTTAAGAGTCCCTTCCCTCCTTCCCTTTTAGTTGTACAAGGATTGGAACTCAGGATTTCACATTTGCTAAGCAAGTACTCTATCACCTGAGCCAAACTTCCAATGAGACTTACCCTTTAACAAGAAACTTATCTGATCCACCCAGTCTCTGGCTTCCGCTGGACTAGCAGCTGTAAACTAGAGAAAAATCAGTGAATTAATTTCTCACTTTTACTAAAATTTTCATGTATCCTGATAGGAAGAACCAAAAGGCAGGGAAGGAAACTGTGAGTTCCAAAGTTAAGTTTAAAGATTAGAATTCTTTCCTAGCTACTCAGGAGGCTGAGATCTGAGGATCGCGGTTCAAAGCCAGCCCAGGCAGAAAAGTCTGTGAGACTCTTATGTCCAATAAACCACCAGAAAACTGGAAGTGGAGCTGTGGCTCAAGCGGTAGAGTGCTCACCTTGAGCTGAACTGCTCAGGGACAGCGCCCAGGCCCAGAGTTCAAGCCCCGCGAATGGAGGGAAAAAAAAGATTAGAATTCTTTTGCTTAATATTCTTTTGTTTAATATTTAGGAGGGAAAAGAAAATATCTCACTCAAATCAATTTTTTTTCTTTCAGCAATTTCACAAACTTGGAGATGACAGTTTTTTTTTTGTTGATGTTGGTCAGCTCTTCAGCTCAGAGCTAGCGATCTACTACTTGAGCCCCAGCACCACTTCCGGTTCTTTCTGCTTATGTGGTGCTGAGGAATCGAACCCAGGGCCTCATGAATGAAAGGCAAGAACTCTACCACTGAGCCACCTTCCAAGCCTCAAGATGACAGTTCTTTAAGTGTAGAAATTTATGTGCATACACATTGATTCATTTGATTATTTCTTCATCAGGGATATATTTGAGAAAAGTTTAGAGGGACATATAGCAAAGCAACATGTAGCAAAAGATGGAAACACTGCAAGCAGGTGCATTGGATAATAAGAGTGGTTTATTAGAAAAAATTCAGTGCTGAGGATGGAACCTTCTAGACAAGCACTCAGCAGGCAGCATTTATTGACGCCTGGAGTAGGTCAGGGAGGCTTATTGAGGTAATTAAAAAAAAAAAAAGTTGGTGGAAGCCAGGTGCTGGTGGCTCATGCCTGCAATCCTAGCTACTCAGGAGGCTGAGATCTGAGGACTGCAGTTAAAAGCCAGCTCAGGCAGGAAAGTTCATAAGACTCTTATTTCCAATTAACTACCAGAAAACCAGAAATGGATCTGCTGCTCAAAGTATCAGGAGCAATGACACCACACGTGGGCAGGTCAGCTTGACTAAACAACAGTCAGTCACCAATGGAAAGAGAGTTGAGAGCCAGAGCAGAGAGCTGAGAAAAGGTCCCCGAGTACTAGGAGTTCAGACTTGCAATGTGGGTGGCAGGAAGCTACACTCAGTTTTAGCTAAGGGAGTAGGAGGTTCTTTCAGTGGCTGTGGGTAGGAGGGACTGAAATAGGGAAATCTCTAGACAGAAGACCAACTGTTTAACTAGTCCTGTGGGTGAAGAGATAGGGATTTAGCTATTGTCATGACTGTGGGAATAAGTAGGAAGGGAAAGATTCAATCCACAGACCAAAGTAATGATGTGAATTCAATGGACTAAACAAAGAAGTAAATAAACCACATTTTGATTCACAAAACGAACCAGTCAAGCATCAATCCCTTCCTATTTTTTTTTTTTCTTTGTTGGTCGTGGGGCTTGAACTCTGGGCCTGGGCTCTGTCCCTCAGCTCTTCAGCTCAAGGCTAGAACTCTACCACTTGAACCACAGTGCCACGTCTGGTATTCTGAGTGTTTTACTGGAGATAAGAGTCTCACAGCCTTTCCTGCCCAGGCTGGCTTTGAACTGTGATCCTCAGATCTCAGCCTCCTGAGTAGCTGAGATTACAAGTGTGAGCCACCAGCACCTGGCTCTTGTTTGTTTGTTTGTTTTTTTAATGAATCAACTTGAAATAATTGTTCCTGAAAGACATTTTAATTGTATGGTTGTTAGGATGAGAAATCTAAATTCCTGCATAGTACTTATAGTCATAGAGACCATCATTCTTAGTTTCTTAAAAACACATTTCTAAAGCTGGGCGCTGATGGCTCACACCTGTAATCCTAGCTCCACGGGAGATTCAAAGCCAGCTGAGGCAGGAAAGGCCATGAGACACTTATCTCCATTAAAATCACCAGAAAACCGGAAGCGGTGCTGTGCTCAAGTAGTAGGTTGCTTGCCTTGAGCTGAAGAGCTGAGGAACAGCACCTAGGCCCAGAGTTCAAGCCCCACAACTGACAAAAAACAACAATAACAAAACACATTTCTGTTAAAAGCCTCTAGGGATATTAGTTTGGACTTTTCTTCCAAACTTCTGTCTGGATGCAATATCATTAGAGTTTAGTAATAACATAACTTAGAGGCTGGGTTCCAGTAGTTCATGTTTGTAACCCTAGCTACTCAGGAGGCTGAGATCTGAGAATCACAGTTCAAAGCTAGCCTGAGCAGGAAATTCCATGAGACTCTTATCTCTGATTAACCACCAGAAGGAGTTGCAAATGGAGCTGCGGTACAATTGGTAGTATTAGCCTTGAGGAAAAAAAAAAAAGCTTAGGGACAATACCTAGCCATGAGTTCAAATCCCAGGACTGGCATACACATACACACACACTCATACTCATACACACACAGACATGCATGCGCGCACACACACACACACAGAAAACTTAGAAGTATATTCAGTGAATACATCTGCATTCCAAAATATTACAAAATATTCTTGAGGATTCTCAAGAAAAGTTTTAGTTTAAATTAAAAAAATTTGTTCAATTGCACAAGGAAGACCTAATTTATTATTATAACTATTATTATCAAGTCAGGAGGTAAGGTACAGTAGAAATAAAAAAAAGTTAATTCTGAGAAAAATCTGAGGAGTCAAGGGATTTCTTACTTAGCTAATTGAATTTTCACATTTTTTTTCTTTTTCATAAGTTACCTAAAGTTTTATTACACTATTTTAGTGAAGCTGTGATAAAACACAAATTACTGACAAGTAGGAAATAACATAAACATATAGCTAAAATACATTTTTGGTAAAAAATCACTATATTGCCACAGTTATATTTTTAACTCATTTAAATTGCTTTTTTTGTCATTGTCAGTCATGAGGCTTGAACCTCAGGACCTGGGTGCTGTCCCTGAGCTCTTCAGCTCCAGGCAAGTGCTTTACCATTTGAACCACAACACCACCTCTGGTTTTCTGGTGGTTAGTTGGAGATAATAGTCTCATGAACTTTCCTGCCGGGGCTGGTTTTGAACCACAATCCTCAGATCTCAGCCTCTTGAGGAGGTAGGATTACAGGCATGAGCCGCTGGTGCCTGGCTTTAATAACATTTTATAAGGAGTAGTGAGTGAATACATAAGGTAGAGGTTCTAATATACAGAAATGAACCTGGTGGGAATAAATCTTTCTTTTCCTGTAGTCCCTCAGTTATCATTGTTGCTCACTAACCATCACCATCAACACCTTAGAAATCCAACATCCCAATGAGACGTCCATGTACCCAATGACACAGGAAGGTTAGTTTGGATAGCAAGATGAACAGGAAAACAAATGAATTTTCATTCTTGAGTTGCATTTCCCTTTTTCTGGATTTCGTGGCAGTAAAGACAATCAGTTGAAAGAAAAAGAGAATGGGAGATACAGGTATGTCATTAGAGACAAATGCCAGTTAGGGAATTGGGTTGCGTACTGCAATAAGCGAGCATGTCACCTAGGAGGCTAGATGGGGAAGGCAAGGAAGAGCTGGAAGCCAAGCAAAGGCAGAGTCTAGAACGAACACAACCACAGAGGAGAAGGGAGGGGAGCACAAAGCAAAAAGCAGGGCAAGAAAGAGGGTTGGAGCTGGTGAGAAGTGAGCAGGTAACAGGATAGAGCCCAACACAGCCATCATGGCTCACAGGCCACAGGGAAAGGCAGTACTGGTGCTCACCAGCTCCTCAGTTTACCCACCTCATAGCTGCGCCTATCCTGAGAGGCGAGTTCAAAGCAGGATTCTTTCTTGGAGTCTCTTCGGAGGTGAGGGGCCATTCGAACACTGTAGCCCTTAATGAGAAAGGTCCCTTTGGGCTGCTTGCCTGCAAGAGAGGAAAGCTCCCTGTATCCCCGATATGTAAAAATGAAGACTCAGAGAAACAGCTGTTATATACCAGAAGAATCACATAGTTTAGGGAGAGATTGTTCTAGAAACTCAGGAAGAGGTTACTGCCACTGCTAGGCAGCTATCCCTGTCAAGCTAGGGAAATGCAACACACAAGGTTATTGGACCAAAAGAGTACAACAGAGACAGAGAATCTATTAGAATGTTAAGAGATCTAGAATAACAGAAAGAAGGAATTATGACAGCCTGGAGAGTAGCTGGAAATGGAAGGCTCTCGAAGTCTATTAAGGAGCTGGATGTTACTTTGAGGGTCGGCACAGCTGACAGAGTGGAGGAGCAGCAGCATGGTGTGTGTGTGTGTGGGGGGGGATTTTATTATAGGGTCCTGGGAATCTCCTCTCCTACCCTATATGTATTTGGGCTTAGCTGCTCCTCTGCCCTCCCTCCTTCTGCTGGCCAGGTGGGAATCGATAGCTAGGAAGAGAATAATTAAAACTCTATTCTGTCTTCTTGTCAAGAGGTCAAATTGTGAAGCCACAGAGCACTGTTGGTGGTAATGAGGAAGGAAACCAAAGGAAAAAAGACCCGAAATCAAGGAAAGGAAAGATTCCTTTAGATTTCATTCCTTTCTAAAACAGACAATATTAGAAACAGGAAGTGAGAAGTTGGCGCGGAAGGATTTCTGTGTCCGTTGATGGGTTCATGCCTGTAATCCCAGGAAGCTTAGACGGGAGGATTGAGGCCAGGTCCAGGCATCAAAACAGAACAAAACAAAAAACCCTTCGAAAAATAGTAAAAGCAAACAAGCTCCGTGGGCGTGGTTCTAGTCTCTCTCACCCCCAAATTTTGTGTTTGTGCTGTATAGTTCAGGCAGAGCACAAAGAGGACAGCAACCAGTGTGTGGGTGATACTTGTGCCCCATATCAGGTGAAATGAATTGCTAACAGATCCTTTTTTGTATAGGGTGCTGGTGATAGAACTCATGACCTCATACATGCTAGGCAAGTGATCCATTACTTACATATACATATATATATGTATATATGTTTTATACATATTTGATGTCCATTACTTTTAATGAAATATATACATATGGAATATATAATATAGATATTAATGGAATATATATATTAGTGGAATATATATATATAATGGAATATATATTAATGGAATATATATATATATATCTCAGGGCCTTAAGCTAGCTAGGAAGTCACTTTACCACTTGAACCATTGTATCGGTCGTTTTTGTGATGGTTATTTTTTGAGTTTGGGTTTCCCTTTAAGCTCAAGGCGGCCTGGATGCTATTCTCCTATTTGTGTTTTCCTGTGTTACTGGGATGATAAACACACACCACTGTGACTAGCCATTAGTTGAGATGGGGTCTTGAATTTTTTTTTCCCCAGGCTGGCTTTGAACCATGATTCCCCCAATCACTACTCAAGTAGCTAGGATGATACGCTTAAATAGCTATACCTTTTTTTATTTTTTGTCAGTTGTGGGGCCTGAACTCTGGGCCTGGGCGCTGTCCCTCAGCTCTTCAGCTCAAGGCTAATGCTCTACCACTTGAGCCACAGCGCCATGTCTGGCTTTTTCTGCTTACGTGGTGCTGAGGAATTGAACCCAGGGCAAGCGCTCTACCACTGAGCCACCTTCCCAACCCAGCTCTACCTTTGGTAGCCACTTTTTGATGATAATGATAAGGCTAGCAAGGAAATTACATAATTAAAAGAAAAGGGAAGGGAAGGCTCTGTTTTTACCTGGTTGAGCTAAAGAAACATACAAACCGTGCACTGGCTAAGCAAACATCCTGGGCACAATAAGAAATAACAGGCAAGAAGGGAGCCATGGAGTAGTGCTTTTTGACACCAGAATCTTTTTTGTTGAAGTGCCTCTCTTTGCTCTAACTGGCCACTAAAATGTTTTGTTGTTTCTTTGGTCACCAGATTTTATTTCACCCTGCTGGCAAAATGGTCAATAAAAGTCTCCGAGGCTCTTGCTCTTGCTCTCCGCCCTCCTTTTTCACAGTAAGTATAAAGGATTCTGCACACACAGGCCCAGTACCTGGCTCTCTATTCCAGATGTCAGCCATTTATTTAAATGCAAGGGAAATCTTAACCTTAAAACAACAACAACAATGGGCCAAATGTATATTAGTTTGAAGGCAATAACAAGAGGGTAGCTTGTATGCCTAGAGAGTTCAAAGGAATGCGTTCTGTATTTGGGAGTGGGGTGAAGGTTCGAAGGACCCAGATGCTGAATTGCTCCATTTTTAAAGGATGTCGGTATCAGTTCTAAGTAGGGTTCCCCACTTTACCCCTAGTTGGGACAGGTTCTCAGTAATCCAGTGGTCCACCACTAGAGGGAGAGGGAGGAAACTGCCACACAGCTAAGGGCCGATTTTGTCCACATAGTCAACATTTATAGCATTATCAGTGATGTTATGTTAATAATCATTCTTAGAGATAATCCTTTGACATAGTGACCACAGCTAGTATTTTGTTTTGTTTGTATGTTGTGGGACTTGAACTCAGGGCCTGGGCACTGTCTCTGAGTTCTTTTTGCTCAAGGCTAGTGCTCTACCATTTTGAGCCACAGTGCCACTTCTGGGTTTCTGGTGGCTAATTGGAGATAAGTGTCTCACAGACTTTCCTGCTTGGGCTAGCTTTGAACTGTGATCCTCAGATCTCAGCTGCCTAAGATTAGGAGGACATTTGGATTACAGGTGTAAGCCACCGGTACCTGGCTCATACCTAGTGTTTGAAGGGGCATTACTTTCTAAATTGGTCTGAGTATCTTCGGTACTGGGTAAGATATTCCTATTTATTTGTTTTTATGCCAGTCCTGGGACTTGAACTCAGGGCCTGGGCATTGTCCCTGAGCTTTTGTGCTCAAATGTTAGTGCTGTACCACTTGGAGCCACATCTCTACTTCTGGCCTTTTGGGTGGTTCACTGGAGGTAAGAGTTTCACAGACTTTCCTGCTGGGCTGGCTTTGAACCTCAATCCTCAGATCTCAGGTGCCTGAGTAGCTAGGATTGCAGGTGTGAGCCACCGGTGGTCATTCACCCACTGATTTCTTTCCTAAGCAAATCCTGTGTGGTGTTAGTTAAGGCCTGCTACCAACAGCTGTGGGGCTGGAGCATGTATAGGAGTGGAATGCTGCTGTCCAAATGCAGAACACTTACTTTTCTCATTAGCATAGTAGAAGAAGAAGCCTCTGCAGATCACACACCATCGCTTCTGCCACTCCGACCCAAAGAAGCTATGATCTACACGGAAGAGCAGCAGAAGACATAAATTCAGGCAACTACAATCGCTGAAGAGTCCGTAAAAGCCAACAACACCCAGTCTAGTATGTTATTGTTTTATTTCCTGGGTTAATGGACTGTAAAAACCCTCCCTTGCACTCCCACAGGTTATACTCTATTGACTCAGAGACCAGGCAACAAGCTCTGTTAAAGGTCCAGTTCTAAACAGAGTTGTCTGCTCTGTGTTCACATATCTGTCTTCTCAATTTCTTTTACGACTTTCAGGTTCCAGTCTTATTCTGAACTTGCCCAATTCTTCACTACTACTTTTGGTACAGCGAAATAATACTTCAGATATTATCGTACTAAGCCAGTTTGCTTGTTGAACCTGAAACGTGGAATTCTAGCACTAGCAGTAGCCATTTTAATTGAATAACTTCAAGAAAGATCAAGAGATAAGCACGTCTGAAATTTGAAGGTGGGCTGCTTTACCTATGAGATAAAAGTATACTTTGGGCAAGAATTTCTCACTGAGACAAGAATATCATTCATTCGCTCTATAAATGTTATTTAGTACTTTTTTGGGTATCAGTACTAGAATTTGAACTCAGGATCTCATGCTCTCACTTCGCTTTTTTGCTCAAGACTAGTTCTCTAACACTTGAGCCACAGCTCCATTTCCAGCTTTTTTTTAAAATTTAATTTTATTGTCAAGGTGATGTGCAGAGGGACATATGTAAGGTAATAAGTACATTTCTTATAAAACATTGTTACCCTCTCCCTCGTTTTTCTTCCACTCCCCACCCCCAGTCTCCCCTCCAAGTTGTACAGTTCATTTCCAACATATTGTCTTGTGAATATCATTTTGTCCTTTGTCTGCTTTGATTATCAGAAGATCTGATAATTAATTACCTTTGTTTCTTTTCTCCAAGTACCCTTGCTTGATGATGTTATCAAGCTCTTGAGCACCTTTTACGATGTCTTCTAGTCCTAAAAGAAACAACACACACTTTGTTGGAACCTGATGAAGTTTTCACCTGGGCTAATTCACATTAACAGTGGTGTGCAGAAGGGTGGTTGCTTAATCACGGCACAAAATAAAAAAAAAACAATTGCTCTATGATTGGGGGGAAAAAGTTAATTTTCTTCCTAATTATATCGAATGCTAAAATTGCTTGAAATGATTTAAACATACATTAACTTGTGGCAAGGGGAGATAGACTAACTATGGACTGAGTGGCAGAAAAAGGACTCCAGAGAATTAAGACTTCGTGGGGATATCAGTTCCAAATTAGAAAGCTCCATTGAGATAATCAGAAGTCAGATGAACAGCTATCAGTGTGGTCAAGCTTCAGTGAGTGAAAGACTCCATTATACTTGTAGTCACCTCAAGGATGGCCATAAATACACACTCACCTGTTTGTTTGTTTGTTAAAGCAGTTTAAAAACCATAGATCAGAAGAGTCTGTCCCTTCATTAGTGTTGCGGCTGTGCCTAATTCCTTACCCAGTGGGTCCTTCTTCATAGACTGCTTTCACTGAGTGTTTCAAAACTTAGCCAACCCCGTGGTCACCATAAATCCTTCTCGGTGAGTTCCAGGGTGCATTCCGGAAATGAACCACAGCAAAGCAAAGCTGTTTTTTGTTTTTGTTTTCCTCTAGGATTATTGTAGTTCACCGATCCCTCTGAAAACATCTGTGAGAAATGGTAGCCTAGCCATTTACGTACGCCTATAAACCAAGCTACTCAGGAGGCTGAGACCTGGGGATAGATATTTGACACCAGCCCCAGCAGGAAAGTGTGTGTGAGACTCTTACCTAGAATGAACTGTCAAAAAATAGAGGTGTGGCTCAAGTACAGTAGAGTACCAGCTTTGAGGGAAAAATCTAAGGGACAGGCTCTGAGTTCAAGTCCCAGAACCAGCATACCACCAACCATTTCCCACCACCGCCACCACCAAAGGAAATGATAGCAGATTTTTTTTTTTTTTTTGGTGGTGGGAAGCTGGGTGACGTCAGGATGAGGAATGGCAGAGCTGCTCTTTGGCAAGCCCATAGTCTCTGAAATTGCTCCCAGAAGCCGTAACGCTTAAATCAAAGACACAGGGCTAAGGATCCTCAGTTTCTACTTTTCCTTCTTAACTACCCCCTTCATTTTTCTTTCTTAAGATCTTGTTAAACTTGGAGACACAGCTTCTGGTTAAAGATGCCAAGAGTCTGAATCATAAAAGACATGTTAAGCGTTCTATTAGAATTCACCACCCCTCCCTTTTTTTTTTTTTTAAAGATGCAAATCTAAATGGCATTTTATGGAACATCTATAATTATGAAAATGGGAAGACATCGTCTCCATGTGTGGGGAGAGTCTGTGAGTATGAATATTACATTAATGTGCCCACACCAGCTCACTGATCCTGCTAGCAGGAGCATAAAAAATGCTTGAGTGAAACTTTTATTTAGATGTTAAGACTCTAGGCCCCAGCGGGGTGACAGAGACAGGCCCTGTGAGTTGCCATCAGAGAGAGAGCTTGAATTGAATTACCCAGGGGGGAGGAAGTAGAGATCAGCCACTGCTTCACTTATTTAATTTCCTTTAACTTTCAGTACATTATCAGCATGAGGCTTTTCTCCAACCGCTCCCCACTCCCCCAAATCCAAGAATGCCACCAAACAAGAAAACAAAAGGCATAATGTAGCAGGGATGTTTGATCTCCAAGTCACTCAATTCTAGGCCAGGAGGACAGTACCATTGTCACTTTTTTTCCCCCTTCCTTGAGTCAAACTCTTGTCTGCTAAAATTGGCTACTGAATGAGATACTGAATTTTCTCACATGGTTGTTGACCAAGATTCTGAAGAGTAATATGGCTGGAAATATTGTCCGTTAGATGCTGAGTTTTTGTACAGAGCCAGTAGGAGACATTTTGTTGCTTTCTTACTCATTAGAGGGAATTTATGTCAATGAGCTCTTTATTTATTTATTTACCCCTTTGTGCTGGTATTGGGGACTTAAAAGTCAGGTGCTGTCCTTGAGCTTTTTTTTTTTTTTTTTTTTTCTTTCTCAAGACTTGAGCTCTTCCATTAGAACCACAGCTCCACTTCTGTTTTTTTGGTGGTTAATTGAAGATAAGCGTGTCATGGACTTTTTCTTTTTTTCTCCAGGCAAGCTTTAAACTGTGATCCTTAGATCTCAGCCTCCTGAGTAGCTAGGATTACAGGTGTGAGCCACTGGTGCCTGGCTTGGTGAACAATTTTGCCTGGGTTTTCTTATATGCTATGGGAAAAAGGAGATCTAAGTTAAAATAAGGAATGGCTATGGAAAAACAAAGTAGGCAAATAAAATCAGGCTCTGTTCTATTGACTGTTTTCTATGTGCAGACACTATGGTGAGTTCAGTCACAGTTGTTAAGTTGACTCTGAGCTCAGTCTCATTAGCTTCCTGATCTATGAGACAAATCCACATAACCAATATGGGAAGCCATTGTGACCCTTGTGCCAGCTCACATTCCTACAGATCAGGAACGGGTGATACTGAGGCTCTACAACATTAGCCACACCATAGGAGGGATGAGGCAAGGGAGTCTTGAATCCACACCTTGTAGCAGACAAACAGATCTGCACAGGGCTACTTAATGTATAATGGGAAGCATGTAAATGCATTGCAGGATGGTATTAAAAAAAATAAGAAGGAGCCACAAACCACAGTAGAAATTGCTATTTTAAGGCAAAAACCATTTCTAGTTAAGTATATAATTAAAAAGAAAAGCTTTTCAAAGAAGCTCTTATCTGAAAAAAGACAGGCCCAACCCCCAAAGCTTTCAATTTATTTTGAATAAATAGCTCTCTGTTGAATAAACCTGAGGGTGTATCACATGACACCAGCACAAAACAGAATTGTCTGAGGGCCATAATCTCTCTCCCATACTACACTTAACTCAAGCTCTCAGTATCACCCATATAAAAGGTTCACTTAGCTGAAGGCTGTGAGACCATAAAGATAAGATCAAGAGAGACGTGAGTTACCCAGGAGTGATGGGCACCCATCCTCCATGGCTGGTGAAGATAAAAGAAATGCTCGGACATCCTTCTCCCTTCATCTAGATTCCCTTAAACCCTCACATCCCACCCATACCCAATTCTGCAGTAAAAACCCGATAGGGAAGGTTTCCATCTCTCAGCGCCACGCATGATTCGTAGTCAGCTGTGCACAGCCACACCATGGGAACCCTTTAGAGTGTGATACATTTCCATAAAACAGTCAAGATAAACGACACTGGAGCTTATGTGAGTCACGGCCTATTGAGCCAGCTGTGTTCGAACTCATTGAGAAGGGAGACCTGGGATCGGTTGGCAATACCACAGCACAAGAGGCTGGTAGCACAAGAGGCCGCAGAATTCCCCTTAGCAAAAGGCTGCAGCCCCTGCCCGAATGAACTAGGCATCCACCAACTTCCCTGACAGACATTTGGCTCCATCATTGCTAAGTCAGCTTAAAAGGAAAATCTAAGATGCTTGTTTGTTTATTATGGTGTGTGTGTGTGTGTGTGTGTGTGTGTGTGTGTGTGTGTGTGTGCTGATATTGGAGTTAGAACTCAAGGGTTTCTTGCTTTCACTTGGCTTTTTTTTTTCTTAATGTTGGTGTACTACCATTTGAACCACACCTATACTTCTGGGTTTTTGCTGATTACTTGGAGATAAGAATCTCATGGGCTCTTCTGCCTGGGTTAGCGGAGATCCTCAGACTTCAGCCTCCTGAGTAGGATTATGGGTATGAGCCAATTAGTACCCAGCTGCTAAAATTTTGGAGGATCATCTTTTGTTTAATTCTTCCCCCCCATTCCCCCCCCCAACTCCCACCTAATAGTGAGGCACGAACTCCAGGCCTGAGCGCTGTCCCCGAGTTTTTCTTTTTGCTCAAGGCTAGCTCTCTAACCACTCGGAGCTACAGTATCCTTTCTGGTTTTCTGTTAGTTAATTGGAGATAAGAGTTTCATGGACTTGCCTGCCCAGGGTGGCTTCTAATCGAGTTTCTCAGATCTCAGCCTTCTGAGTAGCTAGGGTTACAGGCAGGAACCATTTACTGGCACCCAGCAGCTTTTTTTTTTTTTAAACTGTGAGGACCAGTCAATAATGTTACTCCAGTTTGTCTGGCAAGAGTTGCATATCTTCTGATGCTAACAGGGAAGTTGCCGTCAGTGTCCCTCAATTAGTCCCACTAGTCAGAGCTTCTAGAACTCTGTGGTTCTACTTGCTATCATCCACTTGTGTTTGAACTTACTTAGTTTTGTTTTCTGTCATTGTGCTTCACTGATAAGGAATTTAGACAGACACATAGAAGAGAAAAATTCTGAGCCATTGCCAATGGGTTTAGGATCTAAAAGATTTAAAGTTATGAAACCAGTTAAACAGCTAGCTTTAAGTTAACTGCATGAGACTGTTGATGGAGAAAAAAGACTAACAGCAGTGAAAGAAAGGGAGTGGCCACCACACTCTCAGTGAAGCCCTTCATCCAACCGTGACATAAGAAGCTGGGAAGCCAAACAAGCCCAACTAGAGCTAAAGGATGTCACTGAATGGTAGAAATGACACACTTGAGGTTAGCAAACTAACACTGACAACATCTGGCAGAGAGTTCTAGCTATCTGTCTATGTCTGTCTGTCCATCCATCTGACTCACTATCTAATGAGAGTATGTAACCCAGGCTGGCCTGTAACTTAACAATCTTCCTCCCTCAGTCTTCTGAGTGTTTGGATCATAGGTGTGATCCACTAGGAGTATTAATTGACTATTCTTCCTTCCTTCCTTCATTCCTTCCTTCTTTTTTTCCTTCCTTCCTTCTTTTTTTCCTTCCTTCCTTTTTTCCTTCCTTCCTTCCTTCCTTGCCTCCTTCTTTCTCTTTTTTCTTTGTAGTGTGGGGATTGAACTCAGGACCTTTACCACAAGGCCAACACTTTGAGGTGTGGCTTAAATGGTAGACCACCAGCTGTGAGTA